TGTCTCAGACATAATCTGCAATACACAAACACTGTGCGAAGATGGGCACGCAAAAGCCCACTGACACTGAAAAATGCGAGAGCGTGCTGCAGACGCCGAAGACTATGAAGGTGAAGATACAGAGCTTGATAAGATGATATGACGTCTATAATGCGTTCCCCGAACTAGACGCCGTGCAGATGCGTAAAACCCCCAGTTGATACGTGATAGCCCCGATGCTTGTAGTATGGTCGTACTAGTACAGTATGATAGTACTATGCTATTGTAGAGCGGCGTCTTAATGTCGCCATGACTACTCCCGCTCTCGGGAGGCTCCCTTCGATGATCGGTTTCTGTGCCGAGGTCACCCTCCTAATGCAGAACAGGCATATGGGTAGCTCTCTAACTCGGGTCCCTTATAGGGTCCTTTTTGTTAAGGGTCTCGTACTATATCGGGACCTAACAGGGGCCCTAGCTTACAGAACCACCCATATAGTGCTTAGGGTTTAGGGTTTGGGTGATCAGACTGAAGCAAAAGGGCCGCCACCACCGTACCAGAAAGCACCCGCAACTGGAGTCACTGAAAGGAAGCGGGTGACGGGCGAAGTGCTCAATATCACTCGATCATCACTGCCCTACCACCGCCCAACACCAGCACCTGCTGCATGTGGGGGCCGGTTTCGGGCATCTGCTCGGCAATGACGCGGATGACCAACTTCTTGAACTGAGTCTCCTGGATAAGGGGCTGTTGCAAGCTTGTTCAAATCTTTGGTGCTCGGCGGGACAAGCACTGACTTCGAAAGCCGACCTGCAGACTGTCGGTCCTTGAGGTAGTTCAACCCGTTCGCGAACAGCCGATGAACCTGTAGCAAACTACTAATGGCCACGAAACGACTTTGCAAACGAACGCGGACTCAACTCGCAGACACAAGGGACCCCGGGGAGCCACCAAGGCCGCCGCCCGAACATACGGCACCGGCTCGCGGCCGAGCTTCAACCAAGGGTGACGAAGAAGATCCTTAGGAAAAGGGGCTGAAAAAGAAGACTGGTGAAGCTTCGCGGGCTCGATCCGGGCGGTGAGTAGGCAAAAAGAAGCGACAACCAAGCTGCTTGGTAGTGCATACCGACAGCAGCGTCCATGCATCAAACACGCCATGCTGCAAAAAACTCTCTGAAGCAAACCCTACAATCTAGCATAGCCTACTGAGTCTGCTTGAGTGTTAAAACCTCGTCCTTATGGGCCAGGTATTTATGGGGCCCTCATTACAGCCTGAAACTAAGTCCCCGGCAGCAGCGCTGGGACGTAGCGAGGGTGTCACGCGCAACATGCATCGAACAGCCTCCATCCATGGACTCTCATGCTGCAGCAACCGGCGCAGCCGGGTTCTGCAAGTATTTTGCCAAGCTTTTATCTCACATGCACGTAACACCCGTCTGAGGCCGTGGCATCCAGGCACTTTGAGGAGCGGTTCGCCCAGTCCTGACACCATAGCTCGGGAGGCATGCGAAGATTCCAGGATCTGGCACAAAAAAGCAAGACGACGAGTAGGGCCCAAGCCGACTTGAGAAACTTGATGGGCTCCTCTTGCATGAAGTTGAGGAGATCCTGACCAGGGCAGGCCCCCCCTGATTCGACTGAAACTGGCAGCCTTGGTTTGAACCCCAAAGCGGGTCCGACGAAACCCTGCCACACCAAAAGCCCCTCCAGCCCTAGACCCTAAATACGGCACTGAACGACCCCTCCTCTTTCTTCTCCCTTCGCTTGGTGCTCAGGTTCGGCAGGAACGGAGCGACCTGAGACGCCCAAAGCACGGCGAGGGCCCCAGGATTTAGATGACGCCATGCCGTGCTGGGTTTAAGGGTTTGGAATCTTGTCTGGTAGAGCTTCATGCCTTTAGGTCGAAATTTAAGGGTTTGTCATCACCCTCCATGCCTTGAGAAAATGCCCCTCGGGACTCTGCTCCGGTCAGTAGTCGGTAGGCCAATGCCCCGACTGCCCAGACGTCGGCCTATCACAGGAGGATCACCGTTACTCACAGCTATCGCGAACTGCCTGTCTCACACACTCACAGTGCCTCTCTAGTGGCGAAGCTTGTGTCGACTCTGAGGTGGCGGTGATCCACGAGCACATGGGCCTTATCAGCACCTGGAGGATAGCGTCCCATGAGCTGCCCATCGATCCTTAGCTTGAGTCTGCTGAGACTCCGCACGTAACTCCCAGAGAACTACTCATGCTCAGACGTGATTCAAAACCAATGGGAATCTCCAAAGTCGCCTTATGTAAGCTTGGCCCTTGCCGTGGCTTTGCGCTGATTCTGCAAGCATACTAAAGAAAGCAAGGCGCTCAGACGGCCTTGCAGGGCTTCCATGTGTCACCGAACGGCTCAACAACTCGTGACAAGGCGCAGGTGAAGATCTGTGGAGCGGGGTGCCGAACTGCTGGAAGTTCGTGCCCTGGGTGCCGGAACCAACAGGGGTTCTGATCGCTGTCTTGCTGCACTGCTCGCTTTGGGCCGCCGGCCCCGACTCGTCCAGCACCGAGATGCGAGGAGAGGCCTCCATCCGAAGCGGAGGACAACGACGTGACTGACTAGACAAGGCACTTCCTGCCTACTACGAGTACTACAGTGGCAAAGACTCTGTTGCTTCATATAGTTAGTATAGTTAGAATGGAGTTTGGGGGTATATATTATATTCTAGCTAGAATAAGGAACCCCCAAAACCATATATTACTGGAACTTGCGATTGGCCCATGCGATGCCAGGATGGCTCAAGGGCCTGTGCCGCAGAATCTTCAGACTCCTGGGCCGGTCCTCGCTTGAAAAGATATCACAGGCCGGCAAACTCCATCAACTGAGATTTTTCGGAAGAGGGTCCTGAGTCATGGAGGCTTCGGATGTTGTTCAGGTAGACTTCTTTGGACTCGGCGGAAATGCAGAGAAGCCACTGGCAAGGAGTCCACTGTTCAAAGCGCTACGAAGCCTCAGGCGGCCACCAGCATGGATTCCATAGCAGTGTACGGGAGGCCTCGTGCCCGCAGCAGCTCAAACAGAGGGTGCTGCTGGGGAGTTGCCTGTCATCGCAGCGACGTCGCGATCCTTGCAGGGACACACCGAGTTCTGAATCCAAGCGCGGCTTCGACCAGGAAGGTGCGACTAGAAGTCTTCACGACATGCTGTCCTTCTTCACGAGGTCTTTCTGCAAGAAGATGCCCAGTGGAGGCAGCAAGGCCTTGCTGCAAGCGGATACACTCTGCCAGAGTAACTTGAAAGGACCGGGCAGTGTCCGCCGGGCAGCCGGCATATGCGAGGCCGAAGCCAATGACCTTGAGCTGGGGAATCCTTAGCAAAATGGTTTCCGCCGGGGGCAGGAACCCACTCTGGCAGTGACAAGCACTGGGGTTACAAGAAGCCCAATTGAGCCTCCTCGACAAGCATTTAGGGACGGCACTTCGAAGATTGGCTTTTCGACGACCTCGCTCTAACGGTGCGAAGGCCAAGCATGCAGGATACAAGTCATCGGTACCACTGAGTTGGACCGGAAAACTCCGTCACGGACTCCGTGCGCCCATCACGAAAGGACCTGAACCCTCAATCCAGTCGCACTGGGCTTGCTGCGGCTGCATCACCCTGATCTTGTCCGGTGTAATCATCGCGTGCACGCATCCTCTCGAAGCTGGCTACTTGCACAACACCTGTGGCACGACGGCTAGGGGACCAGTGGAAGGCACCGGAAGAGGTGTCATGCAGTCCTCTCGCATGCCCATGCGCAAGGGCGGACAGAATCTGTCGCATCATCTCCGCAACCTGGGCAAGTTAGAGGTAACCGACCTGGCAATCTCCTCATCTGGTTCTGTCTACAAGATTGCTTGCTTTACATGTTTAGGCATACTTGCTTCTGCTTGTATCAGCGTCGGCCCATCAAAGCGTCCTCGTGTCTGAGCTCCGCACAATGCGTTCACTCTTCCGCGAATCGGCACCAGTCCTCAACATGTTGCTGCCGACAGCCCCTGGACTAAACTGACCTGGATGGGCCTAGTGGGGGTTTCCGAAAATAGGGGACCCTAATGTAGTACCCCCAAATAGTAGGATCCTTATTATAAGGACCCCCAAATAACCCCTAATTTTCGGAACCTCCCTAGTGGCCATCTCGTGTCTTGCTTTGCTGTCTCACAGACTCGGCCAGCGACGTCTCATCAAGACTCCATGGCCTCAGCGATCCAAGCTTGAAGCTCCGTCAGGGCAGACCAGAATAGGATGCAAAGCAACACTGACTTGGTCCCTAAACCCTAAACCCTAAACCCTAATGCAAGTCCGTGAGCCGACACCAAAAGACGACATTCAGCCAAGTACTCAAGTGTACTGTCCTTGCGCTCCTTGCATGCTGACTGGTGACATAGACTATCATAGACTTGCCAGAAGGATATGTTCAGCAGCTGGCAGCGGTTCTGCTATCGCGAATCGGGATCGGACTCTCCAGTCTCACCAGTGAAGAGCCTCTCTTTGGAAGGCTTCTCACCTCAGCGGATTTCTTGCAAAGAAGATAGATATGGGTGGTTGTCAAAATTATGGTCCCTTTTTGGGTCCTTATTATAATACGGCACTTATTATTTAGGGTACCCCAAAAGGGACCATAATTTTGACAACTACCCATCTGATATGACGCACAAAACTCCCGAGTGGCGCGGGCCTTCCTAGCCTTGTCCCGGCCACCTGTGTTGAATGTGGGGCCATACATGGCCTTAGTAGCCTTAGTAGGAGAGACCCCTCCCTCCTTGGGTCTCAAGCAGATCACCAGTCGCTCCTCGTCCTCCTCGAAACATTCGATGACCTGCGCCCCGCTCGTTTCAGCGGTTCAGAATCTCAGAGATGGGGGCTTCCGAAAATAGGGGACCCTAATATAGTACCCTAATTAATAGGATCCCTATTGTAAGGACCCCAAAATAAGGTACCCTAATTTTCTGAAACTCCCATATGAGTGGTTTACCCTAAACCCTAAACCCTAAACCCTAAACCCTAAACCCTAAACCCTAAACCCTAAACCCAAGCCTTGCAGAGGTGAGGATGCGAGATCCGGCAAAGGACCTTCATGTGCGCCTCCAGGGGCGATCCCTGGCACAGGTGCCAGCTTTAACGAAACCTTTAGGGTTTAGGGTTTAGGGTTTAGGGTTCCATTGTGCAAGGAGCGTCGTCATCCGGCTCCATCAAGACAGCACGTGATTCATCATATTCATGACTGAGCACAAGAGCGAACCAGTCCTCCAGGCTTGAGAAGCTCTTCTGAACGGCGAGGCAAGAGTATCTCCTCAGCATCTGTCTGAGGCCATACCTTTCCGTGATCTAATGCTGCTTTCCAAACTGAAAGAACTGATGGCCATGCGGCCCTCATCAGTCTGTGCGAATCAGCTGCTCCACCATCGTTGCGTGCAGCCTGAGTCTCAGGCAGGCCCGTCTGGATGCCTTTGACATTGAAGGAACCTGGGCATCACGGGTACGATGCTGGCTTTCGGCTTCGACCGGCTTCAAGCTATCTGGCCCCGATATGTGGGTTCACAGTTCGGTTGTTCGTGCCAATTGTTACAGCCGCACGAAACGAAACCCGAAACCTCGACGGACACCTAGGAAAAAATCAACGAGGCCAACAAGTGCCAACAACCTGTCCTGCTCCTACTCCTGCATGTCGAAACAAAAAGCCATCAGCAGCTTCCAGCGCCGGTGCTGACTGCATGAACTACTTGGTTGCTCCACACTCTGGCACCATCTCTGCAACCACCACTGCTTCATTGGTCACGCAAGTGCTGTCAAGATACGCAAACCTTTCGTGTGGACCTGGCATCAGCAAAGAAGTTGTCGCGACGCCAAGCCTCCTTAACAGATTCTGAATCATGCCTACATTGTGCTCACGGCGACATGGCACACCTGGGCATCCCAGAGCCTGAAGGTGTTCCACTCTATCCTCTTAGCACTTCCAGAAAGCCGCAAGCTAGGCGTGGCTAAGCGTGTCAGGGCGGCCCAGGTAAAGTGGTCCCGCTCGTCGTCACCATCCAGTTGGAGGTATGTACTGTCAAAGGCCTGCGAACAAAGACTGTGACCACTTTGCGGGAGGCTGTGGCACGCGGAAGACATCTTTTTCGAGCAAAAGGATTGCAAGCTGCACACAGACGCAGGCAGCATCGGAGACTGCGGCAGGCTTGGTATCCAAAGCCTGCATTGGCAATGACGGACGACTACCTGTGTGCGCCGCCAGCTTGCGATTGATAGATGAGGTAGGTGGATACAGTGCCACATCTTGCAATGTGGCCCCATCTCACCCATGCTCACCCTGTCAACAACCCGCGGAATGCCTGGCATGGATTTACAGGAGGCTGGTATCAGAACGAATCGCCAAAATCCTGGCAGTTTGTTGCAAACACAAAACAGAGGCAACACACACACTCACTCACTGCTTCAGCGATCCAGACTCAGCACCCCGGGGTGAGCGTTACCTGCATAGCAGCTAAGAACTTGAGAATGCGCTTTGAGCGCGTAGACTATGCACATCATCTGGGCTTGTGGAAAGGCGACGACCAACTGCAGCATCAACTAACGGTGCTCCTGGAAAGCACAAGCAGAAGCTGGACAGAGATGCCTACATGCTCTTCGGCTCTTCGATTCGGCTCAGTAACAGTTGCCCTCGCACGGTCGATACAAACAGAGCCCAAATGCAGCATGGGATTTTACCACCCTTGCTTGCCCTGTACACCCTGCACGAGAGCGAAGTCATTCCCATCATGTTACCATGCAGATACACGAAGACTATTAGCTCCAGAGCAAGCTATGCCCCTATGCGCATGGTAGATGCAGAACAAGCTACAAACCGTCCAGTGCCTTGGCAATGATGAAACTTTGGAGGGAGCTCACATGCGGTGTCACTAAAGCGTGTTTGAAACCGCGTCATATCATAGCGGTCATAGTGGGATCGATCTACCTTCATACTCATCCGGCAAAGTGGTCACGGCCACGTTGTTCTCGCTTGCACCGATTACGTTTGAAATCTGCTCCGCTGCCACGCTCTTGGCATAGCTTTCCGGCTGGATTTTCAGCTCGGGCTCTGCCGTGCCACCTGGTCCCACCAGCGAGAGACAGACTGGGAGGAAGACCAGCCCATGGCTGCCACCAGCAACGACGATGCCCACGAACATCTTGAAGAAGACTCGAAACGCTTGGCTGGCGGAGAAAGCCAAAGGGATCATGGCAACGAAAGTCGTGCTAATGCCGAGAAAGATAGCTGGGCCTCGGTTTGCACTCGTGGGTGCTTAGGAGATCTGTTAGCTGTCCACGTGATGGAGGTCTCCATCGATGATATGTAGGCTAGTGTAGGATTGCAAATGTACCGAGGCTGCGAGACTGACACACAGGGCATTGCTAGCTTCGATGGATGCCAAAGCACAGCACCTCATCAAAAACGCCATCGACAAACAACATGCTGCCGCACAGATAAGAGCGAAAACTCAACAAGCGCACCCAAGTATCAAGAACAAAGACAAGGAAAGCTTCGAAACTGTCAACAGACCTTTGCACTCACCCGACTCCCGAATGCAGCTCCACCCGCAGGAATACACAGGTTCTGGTCGCAGGCACGTACCACCGCACGCTCGAACAGTTGATGATTCTTCCTTGACGAGGCTCCAATCTCTTCCACGGCACGTGCCGCACGTTCGGCCCTGTCAAGCTTGTCGTCTTGAAGGCTGAAGTTGTGGGCGACATGCATGCTGTAGTCCTCGAAGCAGGGATAACGTTGGCAGATTGCTGCAACACATACCCAGAACCCGCAATCGCTGGGGACTAGCTTGCACATAAAGCTGCCGAACCCTTTCGGAGTAGTCGGCTGAGTGACTGCTGGCTGCAGGGAGCACTCACCGTAACAGTTCGGTCTATCGATGTCGGAACTTTCATGATCCATGCGGGCACAAACAGCTTCATGCCTGGTTGAGGCTTAGACGTAGGCATAAGCATACTGCACGAAGGACACTCGAACGCAAAGTAAGATTCTGTGCATCAGAGCTGCTACCACCAAGCCCACGGCCATCCTAAGTTGTCCTTTAATCCCTTTGAAAATTACTTACATTTATGGTTCTCCACAAAATAGTAAGGGAAAGTAAAAAGATCCCAAAAGACAACCCAGCATCACCAAGTTGATCATGGATATCGTGTTCAGATCCAGATCCCAGAGTATAATGTTGCCCAACAGGTTTACGAACACCAGAGCCAGAACGAGCACGACCGACATCACCAAGAGAGGGTGTGCCAAGACGAGAGTGCTAATGATAGTTACAGCTAGCAGACAAAGTGCAACGCTGGTGGTCATCTGCGATACGATGATGCGGAACTGGTCGTAGAAGATATACGAGGAAGAGTTCCTCGGAGAGCGTTTTTTGCAGCTGTGAAACGAAGGCTCTAACATGACAGGAAGTTCTAGCAGCTAGGGCTCATGAAGCTGCCTGGAAGTGCACTTTGCCATCGCTGGGTGAGGGCCTCGGCCTCCTCCAGGGCCTCGACTTGCCCGACGCTGTTGGCGGTATCCACGTGTCGAACCATCAGCCGCGCAATGTCCAGGACATATGAGCCTCCGCCATAGCCTCCGCCAATAACGTCACGGGCAGTGTAGCCGTACTCTCGCTCTCGGGCATCTGGTCTACGGGATCCATCGTCATATTTGTAAGAAAAATACAGATCCCCGTAGAAGTCGCCGAACTGTTCCTCTCCGAGGAAGGTTAACACGGCATCTTCAAAGGTTGGCCCTGTGAGGAAGTGAGTGACACAGTCGTTCACATTCGGTGGAAGGCCCGCTCGGCACCCCGGCCGGGAAGCCCCACCGGGCACTTCTTCGAAGGCCGTCAGCGGCAAGACATCCAAGCTGCCACGGTTCTGCCAGGCCCACAGGCTGAAGATGGTGTGCCAACTTCTGAGGCCCCGATCTTCGTTGACCATGCGCATTGCCAGCATCTCTGCACCTCATTTTGCACAGTCACGCCCTAGACGCGGCGAGTTACCCACATCCAGCAGGCACCCTTCACCGATATCCCCAAAGAACTTCAAGTCCGAGGAACCGATGAGCTCGAGATTCCGCTGGACCTCTAGCGAGCTGAAGTTGAGACCTGCACGGTTTAGGGTTCAGGGATGAGGGTTTAGGGTTTAGGGTTCAGGGTTTAGGGTTCGGGGGTTAGGGTCTAGGGTCTGGGATAGTCTGGGGTAGAGCTGAAGTTGAAACCTGCACTACTGAACTGCGGAAGGGGATGGACTCCGACAGGGCAGCTGGGGTATACTGAAGGTGAGCGGGTCTGAGACAAAGGACGACGCTGGTCATAGGCCTTGTATATTACAGCATACTACAACATTGTTAGAGTATTGTGATCGTATTCTCATGGCCTTATCATGGTATATTTCAGAACTCCAATAGTATTATTTATCGCATTCTTGTAGGTTCGGGCTCACCGGGGCCAGGCGTGTCGGGCCCCAGATTACTTGTTAACTGAGTTTCTGTACTCCGAGCTTCGCAGTGCGATCATTCCGTGAAGGGTTCTTGTCACATCTCAGCACCTTAGCGCGGAGGGTTGTGTACTCTAAGCTGTGACTGCACGGATCTAGCCCGCGAGGAATGCGCAAGCAAGTCCAGATAACGCTAAAATCAAAGAAAAATGAGCCATGCGTAGAATTCTTCCGTGATTTATCAGCCCATGTGGCCATACTACAACTCTCGCTGAGTAATTTGACCCTGCATATCTATGAGGCACTGATACTTCGGCAAGAGTCCAACAAAGGGATCCTCACGGCCAGATGTGGTACAGTCGGAAGGACAATATCATACTGAAGCGTGACTGGAACTGCATCGTTTCAGCCTACATGAAACTGTGTGTAAACCCATGCTTGAAGAAAAAAGCGAGTGAAGCCAAGATTACGTCTCCCGGCAACGCATTGCATCGTTCAACTTCCGACCCCAGCAGGCCTTTCACATAGTAAGATGCTGGCACGGCCAGCCCAATTGCGATCCCACCGAAATACCGCTCCTCCTGATGCAGCAAGCCACCATGAACTTGAGAGTTTGCAGGGCGCTGTCGTGCAGGACTAAAGGAGGGAGTCTTATGAGTGACACAGTGCTTGCAGGATGTCACGAGTGCTTCCAAACGTCACGGCCGCTCGCCTGCACTGCCTAACCCAGAGGCCCCACAAACCCGCGTAAAGATGTGGAAAGTTGCTTTGGCTTTCACTGTATGCCGTCTCGTAGTATTGTAATTAGATTATTACTTCTGTGTATATATCTACATATATATATATATACATATACATATATATATATACATATGTATATATATATATATATGGTAGCCCCCCCCCAGTTATCCACCGTCTCGGTGTTGTTTTA